ACGCTTTCCAGGAAAGGATACGTCCCATCACTCTGATTCTCACCCTATGCCTCGCCGTGAGATGGGTGTCATCCGTGTATGGCAGCAGTCGTTCGGTCGTCATAAAGCGTCACGCTTCGCCCTCGGTTGTCACTATACGATCGTTCACAGTGGTTTCTTGCCGACACTCGTGACGTCGACAATCTTGTCTCTTGTCCGCGACCACTGCTAAGTACCTATATAGCTTGACATGACTGCTGAGCATCATCCGGGACGTCATACGGCCTCAGAGGGCATCATACGAGGCAGAAGATGAACGTCGTCAGTCTACGAACATAAAGAGATCAGTAACGGGCGTCGACTTCGATTTCGCGCAGTGCTGTCAATAGGCTCAACATTGACACTCAATGTTTCGAGAGATACGCGGGTCACCAGTTTCTCACTGTCGCTGGGAGACTCTTGGTATATTCATCGTTTAATTCGCGATGTTCGTCCCAGGAGAGATTCTTCGCCGATCTGCGTAGCTTCTTTTGGTAAGTGTGATTGGCATGATGACTTGATGAGTATCCCTTACTAGTCTCTCAGGCTGCCATGGCCTCGTGCAGGCCACCATGTCTCTCGCCCTCTACCTGCTCCCGTACCTCCTCGGCCACAGCAGTGGCATATTCGCGTCCCCCGTCCTCTACCCCCGCGATGCATCCACACCGACTGCGAATGGGACAGGTTTCGCGACCAGCACATCGTGCACAGACATCAACAACTGCCGCCAGATTTCGGACATCGTCTGGGGCTGCGTGTCCGTCATCCTTGCATGCACCTGGGCCGCACTCCATCCAGACATCCCGCCCAAAGACGTGCCTGGCCACATCGTCCTCATGAACCACGTCTGGTCCACCATCGTCGCCTTTTTCACCCCAGAGTTCATGGCGTTTATGGCCATCATGGAATTTGCCGAAGCACGGAAGGTGAAAAAAATATTTGCAGGTGTGTGTCGAAGTCCCGTTTCTTCTCACTTATGCTCTTATTGACCATTGCGCATAGATATAGAGGTTCCACGGGAGTCGCGGTGGACGCTCACGCATGCATTCTTCGCGGGCATGGGCGGCTTCATGCTTGTAAAGCCCAGGACAGACGGAAAGCCGGGATACGAAGAGGTCGGCACAGTCTACCCCCGCGTTTTGTACCAGCTCGCCAAGGCCGGGCGGGTTAATCTCTCGCTAATAACGGAAGATGCGATCAAGGATAAGAGCAAGGGCGATCTACTGTCCAAGGGAGTCGTTGTCATCCAGACCGGGTGGTTCATCATACAGATTATTGCCCGCTGGGCGGAGCAGCTCCCCGTCACGGAGCTCGAGATCATCACCCTTGCGTTCGCGGTGCTCAATTTCCTCACATATGGATTTTGGAGCCACAAGCCGCTCGGTGTCGACACCCCCATCTCCATTGTGCTACTCCCAGCCAAGGACGAGAGCGCCTCCGGGATCGACGAGAAAGATGCCGATTCCAAATCGACACTTGACGAAATCGCATTCGCATCTGCGTCCACTATCGAGGGGCAGCTGAAAGAAGAGAAAGAGCAAGAAGAGATAGCGGCATCAGGAACCAACCCGACGCCAACTGATGTCTTCCGCGACCTGCTCTCGCTGCTGTACAAGTACCGCCCGAACCTCTTCCGCGACCCGGTCGGCTGCGTGCGGCTCGTCCTCACGAACCTCTCGCGCAGCGGCGCGCCAACGGGCATCTGCCTCGTGCTCGCCGTCGTCACGACTATCTTCGGCGCGCTGCACTTCATCGCGTGGGACTTCCACTACCCGAGCAACGTCGAACGGTGGCTGTGGCGCGCGAGCGCGATCGCCATCACCGCCGCGCCGCCGTATATGTTTCTCGGCCGCACCGTCGCGGTGCACTTCATCGACGGCGTCCTCAAGGCGAAGGGCGTCTGGCGCCGCGTCTTCCTCGGCATCGCGACGCTCGTCTCGTCTCTTCCTGGGGCAGTGCTGTATGTGGGCGCGCGCATTGCACTCCTCGTGGTCGCTCTCATGGAGCTCAGGCAGCTGCCTGCCGGCGCGCTTTTGACAGTCTCGTGGACGAACTTTATTCCGCACATCTAAATTTTGGTGATGAGCTACTCCTTATTCCTAGCGGATGCGTCTCATTGTATGCGAGGCCTTTGCATTCCTCCTCCTCCCCTTTCATTGTACATCATTGCATTATCATCACATTAGTCGCCATGCCTCCTCACCTGAAAGTGCGTATCCCTGGGATATAAGCGTATTTGACTTTTTTTGTACAAGGGACTGACCGCAAGGACTCGTATCTGCCGCAACTAAGACCTCCATAGAACTACGACGCCTTCCAGAAAGGGATAAGATCCCATCACGCTGATCTCCGTTTATAAGCCCGTCGCCGTCCGAAATACGCAACAGCGTGCATGAACGTGTGCTGCACTCGTTTACTAGTTCAGAGCCCTTAGATAACGACTAAAGCTTCGATTTCGGTCGACTTTATATAAGCCCCTTCCCAAGATGTAGCCAGCTTAACAGTGCTGGAGCATGAGCGAGAGCTGCTGATTCTCGACTCGGACAGACTAACATTCGGCGAATACACCAGTTCGCCAACTTCTGGCTGCCACCTGCTGTGAGTATCCCAAGTACTTCATCTCTGCCAGCACTAAAGGCACCCATCTAACGGCGGTTAACAGCGGGCTGTTCTATCTGTCGTGGACGCGTGACAACCCTTCGACGCCATGTGTTGCGACTTGACCAACGCTTCGATACATGAGCTACGCAGCTTCGGTATGCTGGCATATCGGTCATGAGGGCAGTGGGTGTGTGCAGAGATCGTTTCTAAACACCTTCCTCCCTGATGCGTTGACATCAAGGCCTGAGGGCAGCGAGCGGACGCAGGCGCTGAAGCTGAAGACCGGATCAGTCTTATAAGCTTTCCGATCCTCGCAGCCTTCGCCATTAGGTCCACAGTCGCATGTGTCTCGTCACGGGCCCGCCATTTCATCATTGTTTCCTGCCACACTCCGCCGAGCACGTCTGCTCGTGGCCGTGATGTGTTATATGGCCGTCGGTATATAGATTGGGCACCAGGGCTCCTCAGGCTCCAGCAGAGTTTCTCCGCAGCATAGACAAAAAATGTTCTTCAGCATACTCGTTCGTCTTACACCTCTCGCCGCACTTTTGGCTGCGCCTCTCGCATTCGCAGCCAATTCCTTTGCAGGATCCAACCTATACTATGCCGCAGGTCTCAGCTCCGCGGATCGCACTACTCTTCTCCAGTATATTCAGAGGCATTGCTTACCGTGGTCGTGCTGATTGTGTCCGTTACAGGGGACTTCAGAACGCGAATATGAAAGTTCTGCGCGTGTGGATCAATGGACAGACCGACACGGATCTTAAGGGCACCACGATCACGCCTTTCCCAGACGTCGAGCCCAACCAGATCTGCAACGGTGACCAGTCGTGCTACGATCCCACTATCCTCAACCTCCTCGACGAACTTATGGTCGATGCTCATTCGTACGGCATCAAGGTCTGAGCAACATCATTCTGTATTTTCTGTCCCTCTATTGATCATTTCCCCGTAGCTTATCATCACCATGCATACCTTCAACGCCCTCGAGGCAGGAGACGTCTACGGCGTCGAATACGGAACGGGCTATTTCTACGAGCAGACGTACCCTCAGCAAGCGTTTGACCAGCGACTGATGTACATCATGAACCACGTCAACAGTCAGCTTGGGCAGCCGTGGAAGGAGCTGAACGATTACATCTTTGCTTTTGAGGCCGAGAATGAGGCAATGATTGGCAAGGTACGCAAGTTGTTTCCATCTCGTTGTGCTCAAGCGCAACTAAATGGTTAAATTCTAGGGTCAAGACTATATCGAAGCACACCAGCAATGGTTCGAACCTCTTTTTGTGTAGCGTGATGACCAAAACTGACGTTGGACCCTAGGCAATGTGACAGAGCGACTACCATCAAGAACGAGTTGGATGGCAACACTGGAGTATGTTATCAGCATTGATATGTGCTATCCGTGTACCAATCAAATCCTACCCCAGATCCTCGTCATAACTGGTGGCGAATCTTGGATGGCCGAGTCCGTGCAGCCCGATTGGCTCACCTGCGACGCGCTCGATGTCATATCCATCCACGCCTACGGCACTGGCGACTTTGCCACGTCCGCAATTCAGACATATGTCCAGCAAGCACAAGCCGCGGGGAAGATGTTACTCTTCGAGGAATGGTACGTTCCTCTTAAGTATCTAGCAGGAAACATGATGCTTAACCTGGACTCATGAACTGCAGGGGCGCGTGCTACTTCAACACGGAGAATAACGACTGCCCGAGCGGGAGCGCTCTTTCCAGTTCGCAACGGAATAGCAACATCGAGGCCTGGGCCAGCCAAATTACCGCTGCGGGCGTGCCCTTCTTATATTGGCAGGTCATCCCCAACGCTGACCCTCATGTACGTCCCGCACTCTCCCGTCAGAAATGTCGATTTTGGCTGACTAGTTTTGCTAGTGGGACCAGGACTACGAGATTGGCCTCGTTGACGACCCGTCTTGGTCCACTCTACAGGCTGCGGCGCAAGCCGCCTCTAACGCCAATGCGGCGTTCGACTTCTCACCGTGGTTGCTATGATTTCTTGACGTTGGTGGCACATTTCCAGATGATTCCGGTGCCGTCATAGGCTTCTTGTGATCACGCCAATAGTTTGTATACGGTGCTTTGCATGCTTGGCCTGATGCGCAACTCAAACTCGGGGCGCGAAGACAACATTCGTCAAGTTTGGTGAAACCTCCTGCATATTGACCGTAAGGTTTACCGTTTACGCATCACATAGCATCCCTGTAAGAATATGTACTGTTGCATATAGAGAGGTCCTATATGGACATTAACACTAGCATCGTGGCGAGTATAGCGCGACGTGTCTCCAATTTTAAAAAACATATTTATCTGCGAGACGTTCGACATAGGCCCCGGAGGTTGACTCTCTGAATTGACTGCACGTGAGCTTCTTCAAGCGGTTGAAACTTTTACCGGTTCGCAGTACTAGGGTTCTGCCGTAGCTAAATTTTATACACAAAGGTGTGGCCGTTTGGCAAACAGCGCTCTAGGCTAGGCTGCCCGGGCCAAACCTCATGCGTGCGGTTGTCAGCTCAACCATGCGGTTTTACGCAATTATGCAGGTAATGCATGAATAGGATTCGCAAGCTATGTTCGGCCGCTACACTGGTACTCTGTGAAGACCACGCGCATTTTGTATATTTTCTGGGAAGCACGAAACCGGCGTGGGACGAGCTCGATGCAGATATGCAGGTGTTTGCAAACTCCGGGCCAGATATTGGCCATAGCGGTGTACGATTAAAACATGTCTACAGGCAATACATCACATTTATACAACACAGTATACGAACGGACTTGTCGTGGCAACGATACAATCTTCGCACAAGTACGATAATATGACCCACAAAGAAGGAAGACGGCATATGCAGTTTGCCTGATGGCGTATTGTTGTCTGGAGATCTTTTCGGCGATAGCCTGTCGGACAGGTTACTCGTAGACACGGACTGAGGCGATGTCCCAGTAGGCGCTGCTGAACGCGCCAGGGTTGTTGTTGACATAGTCTAGTGCGGAATGAGCGCAGAGAGCAGTCAACCACTACGAAGTACTCACCGACACAGTCTCCAGGACATCCAGCGCCATTGAAAATAGAGGACTGGCCCGCCCAGTCGCCACCTGCGCGAGTGCATGGTCAGCAAACAATGGCATGGAGAGTCCGCCACACATACAGAGCGTAAGGTTAATGATGATATTGTTGGCGTCGAAGTGAGAGTTGATGTCGCAATCGGTGTTGGGGAAGTACGCAGTCGGTGTGCCCTAGAGTTTAACGGAGAATCCATGAATATGTGGCATATGCTGCGGCATTCGCGCGGAAAACGCACCCAATTGTCCGTGTCGATCGTCGCAGGGCCGGTGCTTACATCGCCCGGGACACCGCCCGCGTTGCGGGGGAAGAACCAGACCTTGATGAAGTCGTCAGTGCGCTCCGTCGCGTACCAGCCGCCGCCGTTCGCGTTGAACGACGGGCCGTAGCTGTTCGCTGTGGACGCCTGAACACCGCACCCGGTATTTCCGTCCGTGTTCACGTCACAGTTGTTACCCGTCGCAGTGCCCGTCATCGTGCGGCTGGTGGGCATCGAGCAGTCCGCGCCCGTGTGGAGGGTCATTGCGTTCGGCGATTGGTCATTGACGCCTTCGATCCTGGAAGAAGCCTCGGGGTCAGTTGCATATCTTCGTGCCTATCTGCAACAACACTCACTGTTAGAAGAACCAGTAAATGGTAGGCGTAAGGCACAGCCATTAGTCGTCGTAAAGATAGAAAGGTCGGGAAACCTACGATATCGATTTCGCCGCCGTTAGGCCAATCGCCTTCGTCGGTCTCCCAGGCCGCGGGCCAAGTACCGCAGCCTTGGGGCATGTGGCGAACATCGAAGCTGGAGGTTGTTGGAAGATTAGACCGAGGTGTGATACGGAAGTACGGAGCTCAAGTTTACGCACACTACGACATGCGTGGTGTACGTTTTGACACTGCGGATGCGGACACTGTTCCTGCCCGGGCTGCTAGCGCTGAGGGTAGTAGTATCATCGGCACGAAGGATGAAGGTGTCGCCGTTTGCATAGGTCAAGTTCCGGGCGAGGGCTGTGGCTTGGTCGACATAGTTCCTGACGACGGGGTTAAATATTTTATTGAGCACGCTACACGAAGCACTCACACTCGTCCATGGGTTGGGTCCGCAATAGCCTCGAACGTAAAGGTATTCAGGAAGGCAGAACCAATCCAATTGTCTGAGAGCTGGTAAGTGGCGGCATATGTACTGGGAATGAGTGCAGCCGCGATGAATGAAGCGAGGGTAGCGAAGCGCATCTTGGACACCGTGTGGAGGAGAGGGGTGCTGCCTATCTGAAGCAAAAATGGTCTGCTCTTTTATCCTCTCCCACAAAAGTTGCAAGTTCTCTGATTTGTCATGGGATCTCGAGGACATCGCGGTTCGGGTACACTCCCGGTAAAGCAACCTAGCAGAAGTGGGTCAGACATCAGCAAAATAAATGGTCACTGAGTAGCGAATACCAGGTTTGAGTACCATACGGGGCTGAAGTGCGGAGGGCCGAGAATACAGGCCACTTCGAGGCTGACGATCATCCGTGAATGGGTTCGGGATCTGGGTCAGTAGAAACGCGATATGAACTCCGTTGCACTCAACGTGGGACATCGCTGCCCATGACTGCGATCCATGCGCTCCAGCGTCCGACATCAAACTGACTTGTTTCTTGGACGGATGTTGTATCCTACACCGCCGTCGTGTACGTAACTGACGGTTTACAATCAAAATGATCGAATAAACGCCTGACTGGTCTGATGCTACTCGGCGGACAGCCAGGAGTACAGGCGCGAATTCAGTTTGCTAACCGTTAAGTCTCTATTTGTGCCTGGCAGGCTAGCCGTTCGCCTAACAGATTCCTGAGCGTGAGGAAACGAGCTCTTCCAACTTGCAACCGTAGCTACGAGCCTACTTCTTGCTAATAAAATATTGGAAGCTTCCTGAGGGCAGTAACTAACCTTACTTGCATCTTTGTTGCATCCAAAATATTTTTCTCGCCGCAAACCAAGGATGTGTCCAATGAAACGACTGACTTTGCGAATGCTTCAAGCCTTTGAGCCGGGGACAGCTTTGAACTCCGCTGATGCTCGGCATGCATCGGCATTCCCTCCGTGTGGTTCAAGCGCTTCTTGTCTGCCACGTCTCTTCCTCTCCCATCCTCCATTCACTTCGCGTATACCTTCACTGTATCTTCCTTAAGCTGCGGTACAAATCAGGTTGTGCTACAGCTCAAGGAGTAGCTTCCCGATTGATATGTCCTTTGGTTCAGCAGCACCTACACTACTCTGACAGGTATGTCACCATATATTCTGTGGTAGTCACAGCTGACGATTATCTAGATGTGTAATCATATGTAGCTGGCATGTCAGGTAATAGGTGTCACTCATGTAAGCTCATAAGTCTGCTGTTGTGTTTTAAGGGCTCACACTTTTAGCTTTGTGCAGGGTATCCATGCAAGTCTCAGCAAGTCATGACAGATGTGAAGAGTGCACTAAGCACGGTGTC